ATCCTTGCCATCAAGGAAACTGCAACCTTGTTAAGGAGGCAAAACTGGTAAAACTGAAACAAATAAGTTAAAAACCGTGCTATGATTGTGAAATGCATTTCATTCAAATGGTGAGATCAGCTGAAAACCAGGCTGTAGGTCAGATAAAGTTCCTGAAATTGGTCTTGAAGGACTGATAGATTTCGGAAGAAAGCAGGTATTTCAGGAAGTAAACCTATACAAAGAAAAGCAGAGAGGTTGCCTTTTGGGGGTGGGGGGAATGACTACAGAGGATGAATCACACAGGTTGGGAATGAGAGCAGAAAGACAGGAAAAATCAGCAGAGACATGAGTGGGAAGAAATCTACTGATCTCTAGAGATTAAGGCAAATCAGAGGTTTGGCGTGCTCACTTTGGCAAGATTCTCAAGGTGTGCAAGTGTCATGGTGTTTTGAGAATCTGATTTCCAATATCTTTTAGGAGAAGAATTGAGGTTTCCCCTTATCCAAATCTTTTCCAACTGAGTTGATCCTTTCTAGAGATGAAACCCAAGAAAAAGAGTTTCATGAGAAATGCAGTTAGAATTTGATAAGATGTTGAGGATTAGCCTCAAATATTCTGGAGGGAAGATGGGAGACAGATAGAGGGCTACTGATGACAAAAGACTCACCAAGAGTTGACAGTTGTTGGAGCTGCGTGATGGGTCCTTAAGGTTCATGATGCTATCCTCCCTACTTGCGTGTATGTTTGAATCTTCCCATAATAAGAAGTTATTTGTAAACCTATTACTGTTGGGGTCAAGGGTCATTCCCACATCCCATGTTTCCCATGTTATATGAAAAGATTCGCTGGCCCAGAAGATGTGGCGTTTGTCTCTCCTGTGACTAAGCTCTTTAACTCTGAGCCAATTACTTCACCTCTGTGGACCTCAATCCTGTCTCTGTAAAATGAGAGGAAAGGACACAGGAAATAACATTTATTAAGTGCCTACTATGTACAGGAATTGGGCAGTGTACTCAATTTTCGGATGGATGGATGCCACGTTCTTCATTGTCTCCAAAGTTTCTTTGTGGCTCTAGGGTCCACCAATGATCTGTTTCACTTTCATTTAGTTTTTTGATGAACCCATGTGGCAGATACCTTGCTATTGACTTTGGAGAAGAGATAGCTCCTGTCTTCAAGGATTTTATGATTTGAAAAGACAGACTAGTAGGAAAGGTTATAATCCAACTGGCAATTGTTATGGGTAATGTTACAATAGCTGTTGTTTATTGAACAATAACTACATGGGTAAGATGCTAAATGTTTTACTTGATATATCCCTACAATATATATTTTAAAAAGTGAGATGGTTTAATAATAAAAATACTATCATGTACTCCTAGGTCAGGTAAGAGGAACACCCATCCCAGGCTGAAGGGGTCAGAGACATCTATGTCATCTTTTTGAATTAATTTAATTGTAGCAAAATAAAAACAACATAAAATTTACCATTTGAGCCATTTTCAGTGTTCGGTTCAGTGGCATGATGTGTGTTCACATTGCTGGGCCACCATTGCCACCGTCAGTCTCCAGAACTTTTTCCATCTTCCCAAACTGAAACTCGGTATCCATTAAACACTAACTCCCCATTCTCCCTCTCCCCAGCCCATGACAACCACCATTCCCCTTTGTACCTCTATAGATGTGACTACTCTAACCACTTTATATGAGTGGATTCATGGAGTATTTGCCCTTTTGTGACTGGCTAATTTCACTTAAAATAATGTCCTTAAGTTTCACCCATGTTATAGTATGTGTTAAAATGTCCTTCCTGTTTAAGGTGAAATAACTTTCCATTATTTGTACAGTCAGCCCTCCGTATCCATGAATTCTGCATCTGCAGATTCTTTCAATGGGGGGTCAAAATATATATATTTTTTTAATTTCCAAAAAGGTCCAAAAAGCAAAACTTGAATTTGTCGTGCAATGACAACTATTTACATAGTATTTATGTCGTATTAGAAATTATAAGTAATCCAGAGATGATTTTAAAAGTATATGAGAGGGTGTGCATAGGTTATATGCAAATACTTTGCCACTTTTTTTAAGGAACTTGAGCATCGGAGGGTTTTGGTATCTGTGGGGGTCCTGACTCTTCAAGATAAATGCCTCTTCAAGACCCTGCTTTCAATTCTTTGGAGTATGTACTATGTTAAATTCTGAAGAAAAAGAAGGAGTTAAGGCAAAAAGGGGAAGAGGGGCATTCCACAAAGAGTGAGTGACTTGTGCAAAAGCGCCAAGAGCGATCATTCAATTCAGCTGAAGAGTGGGGGCAGGGGGGTGAGATACGAGGCCTAAGAGAGGCAGAGACTAGATGGGAAGGGGCTCGCCCACGGAAGGGAACGGACAGTGGAGGCTCCAAGCGGAACTGAGATCAAGTCCCTCCTTTTCTGCTGTCCTTCAAGGGTCTGCGTGTGCGCTCTGTGGCTTCAATCGTGTCTGACTCTTTATAACCCTGCTGACTGTAGCCCGCCAGGCTCCTCTGTCCATGGATTCTCCAGGCAGGAGGACTGGAGTGAGTTGCCATGCCCTTCTCCAGGGGATCTTCCCGACTCAGGGATTGAAACTGTGTCTCGTGCATCTCCTGCATTGCAGGGGATTCTTTACTGCTGAGCCACCAAGGAAGCCCCTGAAGTGTCTGATGGTTTAGTCACTAAGTCGTGTCCGACTCTTGTGACCCCCAAGGACTGTGGCCCACCAGGCTCCTCTGGCCATAGGATTTTCCAGGCAAGAATACTAGCATGGGCTGCCATTTCCTTCTCCAGGGGATCTTCCTGACCCAGGGATCCAACCCGGGTCTCCTGCACTGCAGGCAGATTCTTTACTGACTGAGCTAGCAAATATTCAGAAAACAATGTCTTTATAGAAAAGACTTTGGCCCCTACTGGAAATGACCACTAGAAGATGTTCATGCATTGTGTTTGACCCCAATTGTCTGTTTCTTTGACAATAGGCCTCCTTACTCTATAGGTGTTCAATAAATAGTAATGGAATGCTCAATAGACCAGTTATTTATGGCCAATGGATTGATGCTATTTCATAAAATCTTTTGCTCAAAATAATAGTCTTTAATGCATTGCTTTTATTTGTCTGAATTCTCTTCAGAATCAACTAAGCCAGAGCACAAATCTATTTATGAGATTCTGCATTCAACTCTCCAGCTTCCTCTCTCTAACACAGGCTGAATCCCTTCACAGTGATAAAAATGGTGCCAGGTAAGCTTGAGGCCCCACCCAGCTATGAATGATTTCATGACAATGCAGCACCTAATCTATTTATTTCTATGAAGAGCCGTAATCCCCTGTGAGGGCTTCCCTGGTTGGTCAGATGGTAAAGAACCCACCTGCAATGTGGGAGACCTGGGTTCAATCCCTGGATCAGGAAGATCCCCTGGAGAAGGGCATGGCAACCCACTCCATTCTTCTTGCCTGGAGAATCCCATGGACAGAAGAGCCTGGTGGGCTACAGTCCATGGGGTTGCAAAGAGTTAGGCATGACTGGGCAGCCAACACACACACACACACACACACACACACACACACACACAATCCCCTGTGAACTCAGTTACCCTCTAGAGAAATAGATGGCATGATGTGTGTGTGATTAACACTTGGATGATATTTGGATGTTTCTCACAATACTCATAAACACTAACACCATGAATGAACACCATGAAGACCAAGCTCTTCTCCCAAGAGGACCCATGAATTGTGCCCGTATATTCTTCCACATGTTTAACTTTTCTGGTGTTCATATTTATGCTTTGAGTCATAATGTGAGCTATAGTAAAAATCAAGAATAACTAGAATGATTTCTCAGCAAAAGCCATTCCTCCAGTGAAGTTTTGGTCTATGTGTGTGGTGGAGGAGCATGGGGATGTCCTGCAAGGGGGAGGTGTACAGCTGAGGTCACTTCATTTGTCCCACTGTAAGATGGTTCACAGACCCCACTGTGTTATTGAACCAGAGCTCTGGACCAGAGATCCTGCAACATGGCTCAGAAGAAGGAGGTGGGTTTCACAGTGCCCTTAGGTATATAGAGCAATACACCCTTTCTCCAGTGAGGAATGCGCCCAATACACTGACGAAGGTGCAATTGTAGCAAAGGAGAGTCCAATTCTAATCTTTTAGAACTGGTCAATTCACATGAAGTCTGGTGTTCAGCTCTGATGCTCATCATGATGCTTAAAAGCAACTCTGGGAACTTCCCTGGTGGTCCAGTGATTAAGACACCGTGTTCCCAATGCAGGGAGCCTGGGTTCGATCCCTGGTCAAGCAACCAGATCCCACATGCCACAACTAAGATCCAGTATGAGGCAACTAAGACCCAGCGCAGCCAAATAAGAAAAAAAAATTTAAATAAAAAAATTCAATGATATATTTTTAAAAAAGACCAAAAATTGTGAGGCATGTAGGCAATAAGCATTATTTTTCATTATATTCTTTTATTCAATGTGAATGTTCTGATAGACACACTCTATCACTTGGGATTTAAGTTCAACTTCATATTACAGAGCTCCATCTCAACTAGTCCAAAATGGCTTAACCAAGACAGTAGTTAATTTCCCCCTTTGGGAATTCCCTGGTAGTCCAGTGGTTAGGACTCTGAGCTTTTCACTGCCAAGAGACCTGGTTCAATAACGGGTCAGGGAACTGAGATCTTACAAACCCCGTGGCAAGGCCAAAAAAAAAAATTCTCCCTTAGATATAAACACGACTACAGGCAGTTAGGAATAGTAAATGGCTCATCACCGCTCCAGGACCTCTAGATGTTGCCCTGCCCACATGGCCAAAGAGGCTCAATACCAAGTCCCTGTTACAAGCCCCAGGGCAGAGGAAGGTGGGATGAGGGGGTGGATCACCTCCCTTTAGGAATGCAACCCAGGAATGGCCAGAATGCATCACAAGGCCACTAGAAGGTGCACAGGTTGCAGGCACTGTCATCGCCACGAGTAATGCTGGGGTTCCACAACGAGGAAGAAGGATGGGACATCTGTAGGGGGACCCCCAGCAATCTCTGTCACATCTGCTTTCTTTTTTCTAATTTGAAAATGGAAAACTGATTCACAAAGAGGGAAAACTCCCCTAAATTTACCTGGCCAACACCTACTCATCCCTCTTGTGTCAACTTAAAAGTCACTTCCTCCGAGAAGCCTGCCTGGGGTTTTCCCCTTCCTTTCCTTCACCCCCGGTGGCCCCCATCTAAAGGAGGTGTCCCTGTTACATTCTGTCAACAGCTCTCCTCTCCGAGCGTTTCAACTTACCAGAGCTGAAATTAATGACTCACCGATGTGACTGTGTGTGTCACGTCTGCCTCCAGAATGGTTCTCTGAGCTCTGTGATGACAAGGACTGAATCTGTCATGGTCACACGGACCCTTGGTAAGCACTCAAAGTGAATTTTCTCAAATCAGTTCATAAATAAATGGGAAGGTAGGGGGTTGTGCTCAAGGTCACACAATTAGTGCAGAACCAAGGATGAAATTGGGTCTTTAAACTCGTTCTTATCATGCCACACAACTTTTCCAGGTAACAAAATGAGGACCAGAAGGACAAGGTCACTTACTTGAACTTGTACAGGTAATGAGTGGCAGGACAGAGCCTGGAATCAAGGATGCTTAAGGCTTAGCCCACTTCTCTTTCCACCAAAATATAATAATGCTTTTATTTCCAAACCCATGGAGCTCCTATCTCAGAAAGACTCAGGGTATTCACAGATAGATTCTCCTTCATGGGCATAAACAATTTGCTTAAACTCATTTGAGTTTAAAAGTAGGTCAGAATAATCATATGTAACATGTGAACCTTGATGCGATTCTAGATGGTGGGGGGAGTGGGAATAAAGCCTATAAAAGGTGTTTTGGGAACAATTGGAGAAATGTAGATATAGATTATATACTAGAGGACAAGTGTTAAACACATGCCAGTGTACTTGGATGTGGTTGAGTAGAAGAATATCTCTTTTCTTAGAAGATGCAGATTACAGTATGGCATGGGATTGAGCAAGAAGTGTTCTGATGTCTATATCATAAGGGACGATCCTACCTCTGAGTTCAACCTGGAAGACAGTTATCGGGGAGGTGGTTATCTATTCCTCCTGGGGAAGAATGGGCATCTTGACCATCACATAAGTTATTATTGATTGATCATAAGTTATCATTTTGATCAGCAGAGACTAAGACATTTTTCCCCACAGTTCTGATTGGATAAAAGACTTCACCTTATCCATTTAATGACACATGATAATACAACTCCTTTTTAAAAATTCTTCTTTACACATCCTGGGTTGGCTCTGTCAGGGAGCACATTACAAGAACATACATTACAGGGTTTCCTTGGTGGCTCAGTAGTAAAGAATCTGCCTGCTGATGTAGAAGACATGGGTTCGATCCCTAAGCCAGGAAGATCCCAGATGCTGTGGAGCAGCTGGGCCTGTGCACCACAGTTATTGAGCCTGTGCTCTGGAGCCTGCAGGTCACAACTATTGAGCCCATGGGCTGCAACTACTGAAGCCCAGGCATCGTAGAGCCTGTGCTCCACGACAAGAGAGGCCACCGCAACGAGAAGCCTTCCCGCGTACAGCAGCTAGAGATTAGCCCCTGCTCTCCGCAACTAGAGAACGCCCATGTGCAGCAACAGAGACCCAGCATAACCAAAAAAGTTAATTAATTTTTTTTTTAAAAAGAACATATGTTACAAAATATTCTGTTGCTTTTAAAACATAACGGATCTCACCAAAGAAGGCCATGTACTCTTGGCATGCAGTTACAGTCTGTTTCTGTTGTCTCTGAGAATCATTTATGGTTAACACGTGCTGTTTTAAAGAACAGCAGAAACTCCTAAACAACCAAAGCTCTCATCTATGATTGTCCTCTAGAAACAGAAATTCAAATCACAATATTCTAAACTAAGAATTGGTTGTTGCTGCTGTTTAGTCACTAAGTTGTGTCCGACTCTTCTGCGACCCTATGGACTGTAGCCCCCCAGGCTCCTCTATCCATGGAATTCTCCAGGCAAGAGTACTGGAGTGGGTTGCCATTTCCTCCTCCAGGATATCTTCCCAACCCAGGGATCGAACTCACATCTCCTGCCTTAGCAGGCAGATTCTTTACCACTGAGCCACCGGGGAATCCCAAAGTAACTAATATGCCTCCCATGTGTTTTTGTTTTTCCTGCCTTCTCCTCAAACTTCAATCACCAAATCTGTTATTCCAAAGTTATAAAACTATAATTTTTAAAATAAAACATTATTAAAGGGGAAAAAAAAAACTGTTAGGTTCTACAAAGATGGTAAGAAGACTCAAACTAATGCTAATGTTTAACACTAGTATAGGCAACTAAGGGAAGGTCTACAATCTCCTTCCCTAGAGAGCCCTGAAATAGACTGGACCACCACATGCCTTAAATGACTTATGTTTCAGATGTTCTGGGGCAAAGGTCTTGACCACACGTCTTGAAATACCTTCTAGCATTAATATTCTGTTAAAAAATTAAAGCAGACCACAAAAGTGAGGTCAAATTGTGTTCGTGGAATTTCTGTGTATATAACAATCAGAAGGAGCCAGATTCAAATATCAAAGTGGGTGACCCTAGGTCGTCTCCAACCATGAAAGTGAAGTGGGGAAAGGGTAGAACGTTTACTGTTGATTAATCGGGGAATAAGCATGAAGCAAAGTAGCCCCTACTGTCTACTTACCTAATGTGTTTTCATCAACGTCTTCAAGATGGGCCCACCATATTACCTTTTATTTAATAAAGCCCCTTAATCAAGATGTGAGCATGAGGAACTTCAAATGTTCCCAGAGAAAGTGAGAGGATGCTGGTAGAATTTATCTGAATGGAAATATCCACTGGTGCTTGAGGAAAGCTTCCAGAATGTGACCAATACCCACTGGACCCATTGATTTATGGCCACTCATGCAGCACAAAACCTTAAGATTAGCGATATTTAGGGAGTCTAATATAATTAATATCAGGCAACATCCAGAGGAAAAAGCCACAAATCATTTTAGAGTATTAAAAAGTCCAATACGGGAAGTCAATTAGTTTTTGTCCTCATGTCAGGGAGAGCCACACCATGAATGAGGGCAGACGCGAGGCATGTTTTGCAGCAACAGCTGGGAGCAAAGGAGGGAATGGAAACTATCAGCTGCTCTAGATTGTTTGTTCCTTCTCAAATGCAGACGTTGAAACCTATTTCCCCCAGTGTGATATTGTTAGGAGGTGTGGCCTTGGAAGGTTATCAGGTTGAGACCTCTAAAAGCTTCCCTTCTGATGGGGAGAAGGGATAGTTAGGGAGTTTGAGATGGACATGCACAGACTTATATTTAAAATGGATAACCAATAAGAACCGACTGCAGAGCTTAGGGAACTCTGCTTGATATTATGTGGCAGCTGGATGGGAGGGGAGTTTGGGGGAGAATAGACACATCTGTATGTATAGCTGAGTTCCTTTGTTGTCCACTCACAACATTGTTAATCAGCTGTACTCCAATACAAAATTAAAAGTTTCTTTTATTAAAAAAAAGAGCTGCCCTTCTCTTCTGCCATGTTAGGACATAGCTGCAAGATGATTGTCGATCTCTAAATCAGGCCCTCACCAGACACCAAATCTGCTGGTGCATTGATCTTAGACTTCTCAGCCCCTAGAACTGTGAGAAATAAGTTTCTATTGTTTATAAGCCACCCAGCCTATGCTAATTGTCTTATAGGTTCTCAAACGGGCTAAAATACCAACTAATTTGGAAGCATTCTCCTTACATACAATCACCTGCATACGGCTGGGCTGCTGGCATTACTCTCCTCCATTTTCACCCAAGCCACCCGGATTAGTTTCCTAAGGCTGCCATAACAAACTGCCACAAACTGGGTGGCTTAAAACCACAGAAAAGTATTCTCCCAGAGCTCTGCAACCTAGAAGTTTGAGATTGTGTTGTCAGCAGGACCATGCTCACTCTCCTAGCTTCTGGGAACTGCCAGCAATCCCTGGTGCTCCTTGATGCTATGGTCTGAATTTGTATGTCCCCCTCAAAGTCCATATACACTGAAACCCTAACCCCCAAAGACAATGATATTGAAGGTGGGGCCCTTGGGAGGTTCCTCCATCCTGAGCATGGAACTGTCATTCCAAGAGAGACCCCAGAGAGATCCCTACCCCTTCTACCATGTGAGAATATATAGGATTCTGAGACCCAGAGAAAAGTCTACAACCAACCAGCCTCCAGAAATGTGAGAAATGAATTTCTGTTGTCTACACTAACCCAGTCTATGGTGTTTTCTGATAGCAGTCCAAGTCAACTAAGCCGCCAGGCTTGCAGCTTCTGCTGCTGCTATGTCACTTTGGTCGTGTCTGACTCTGTGCGACCCCACAGACAGAAGCCCACCAGGCTCCCCGGTCTCTGGGATTCTCCAGGCAAGAACAGTGGAGTGGGTTGCCATTTCCTTCTCCAGTGCATGAAAGTGATAGGGAAGTCGCTCAGTCGTGTCTGACTCTTAGCAACCCCATGGACTGCAGCCTACCAGGCTCCTCCGTCCATGGGATTGTCCAGGCAAGAGTACTGGAGTGGGGTGCCTTTGCCTTCTCCACAGGTTTGCAGCTGCATCACCCAAACTCTGCCTCCAGTCACGTGACCATCTTCCTTCTGTACACACAGAAGGTACAAAATGTGCCAAAAGGTTGGCCACAACTGCCTCTGTATGGTGGGATTATGAGAGGTTCTCTTTTGTGCTTCTTCACATAGGGTTCGCCTCTGTGTTCTCTGTCTCTGTGTCTTTCCTCTTCTAATACAGACACAAGACATATTGGGGTTAGGACCCACCTTAATCCACTCTAGGGGCTTCACTGATGGCTCAGATGGTAAAGAATCTGCCTGCAATGCGGGAGACCCAGGTCTGATCCCCAGGTCAGGAAGAGCCTCTGGAGAAGGGAATGGCTACTCACTCCAGTATTCTTGCCTGGAAAATTCTGTGGACAGAGGAGCCTGGAGGGCTACAATCCCTGGGCTCACCAAGAGTCAGATACAACTAAGCAACTAAACTAATCCACTCTGGACGACTGCTCTCTCCTCTAAGAGAACTTACAATGTGATCAAGATCTTAACATACATCTTAATTGCATCTGCAGAGATCCTATTTCCCTATTCACAGACACCAGGGGTTAGAACTTCAACACGTCTCCCCATTGCCATCCGCAGCATATTTATTGAGCATCTACATAACTTAGTTAAAAAGAAAAACACAGGCCAAAAGATTTTTTTTCCTCGCAAGGATTTGGAAAAGAGCAATTATTATAAAAACAAATTGAAAGACCATTAAATGCTAAAAAAAAAAATAAAGTTTATATCAGTGCTGTTTACAAAGTTAAAAAATACAAAAAGACTAAT